TAATTTTGAAAACAATGAAATTGTTCCACTGGTGCCAAACATTTTTGTGTGCCTTAATATTATTATAAACTTATGGTTTAATATCTAACGTGTATCAATTCCAAATTAGCCTTATTGATACTCAAATTATACTAGTTTTAGCACATGGTAGCCTCTTAAAGTTGGTCTCCACTCCTTTTCACATAACCTAAATAACCTTTTCTAGCTTCTGTGCTACCTATTATGACAAATATTCCAGGCCTACCTTGTACAATTCCTGCCTCAAACCTAAAATCTGCTATTTCTCCAAGTAGTTTGAGTTTCCTTTAGAGGAAGATGGCATTTCAAAATCACAATATGATGCAACTGCTTTCAAAAAGTGACACCTTTTTAAACAGTTAAACAAATATCTATCCATCCTATGAGTACAATTCCACCCGACAGAAATCAAAGTTTATATGTAGATAAATATTAAAAAAATTTTCTTTTGTAGTTGTAGATGGACAAAATGCCTTTACTTTATTTGTTTATTTTCTATGTGGTGCTAAAGATTGAATCCAGTGCCTCACTTATGCTAGGCAAGTGCTCTGCCACTGAGCTACAGTCCCAGCTCAATAAATATTTTTACATGATTATTTTACATAATAGTAACTTTACTCAAAACAGCCCAAACTTGGAGATGTTTAACTAGAATGTCCATTAATACATGTTTGGATAAATAAACTATAGTATAGGTATATGATGGATAACACTCTATAATTAAAGTGCGCATCATGCCGGGCATGGTGGTGCGTGCCTACAATCCCAGTAGCTTGGGAGGCTGAGGCAGGAGAATCCCAGTTCAAAGCCAGCCTCAGCAACTTAGGGGGGTCCTAAGCAATTTGGCCAGACCCTATCTCAAAATAAAATATGAGGGATGGGGATGCAGCTCAGTGTTTAAGTGCCCCTGGGCTCAATCCATGGTACTGGGCAAAAAAAAAAAAAAAAAAAAGAATAATCTACCAATACATATAATTTGTACCAAAGAGTGTATAATAAATGATTCATTTATATAAAATTCTAAAGTAGGCATTATCAAGGCTTTTCTCACCTAAAATAAAAAACAAAAACCAAATCAGACTTACAGAAAAATATTTGTTCTTATATAATAAAAATACAAACAAGGCAAGAACAAATAACAAACAAAAGAAAATTAAAACACCTAACATCAAGAAAGGAAATCTAATTTAACCAGGAAGTGAAATACAAATTAAAACAACAATGAGTAAAACTAAACCTTACACAAATGGGATAATAAATAAATAAACACAATCTGTGAAACCACTTTTTTAGTGGTTTAGTTTATGCACATATAATACAATATTGTCTTCTAGGTTTTATACTTACTGTCTAATAATTTACTTTAATTGAAAAGATCGTGGTAGTGGTAGCGCTACCACAAAGAAAACCACAGAGAAAAACCAAATACACACAGACATGGAAAGATGTCCAAGATAAAATGAAAAACAAAGTGCAGGTTATAAAACTGAATATTATAAAACTCTTGGCTCAAACACATATACACACCACCTCATGAAAACAAATTTGAGGGCTGGGGATGTGGCTCAAGTGGTAGCGCGCTTGCCTGGCATGCGTGCGGCCCGGGTTCGATCCTCAGCACCACATACAAAGATGTTGTGTCCGCCGAAAAACTAAAAAAATAAATATTAAAAAAATTCTCTCTCTCTCAAAAAAAAAAAAAAAAATAATTTTTTTTGAAAGGTTTACAGTGATTTTCTACTACAGTCCTGATTTAATTCCATATAGTTGGAGTATTTCATAACAATTACTACTTTTTGATCCAAAATAACAAGTATTTTTATTTTACAAATTAAAATTAATATGAATGATATAGAACTACATGAAAACTGATATAGAGTATAAATCCATTTTTGTAAAAGAAACAAACATGTCAGGTTTACTTTAAAAAGATTTCTAAATATCATTTTGAACTTTATAGTGTCTTTATTCTCTTTAGAGTAATAAGAATTACACCTTGTTTTACTCTTGAGCTTCTAGTTTGAATTTTAAAATACAGTGGTTTTCGATTAAAAGGAGAATTCCCACTACCCATGATTTATTTACTGATATATATTATAATATAGATAGACAATACACATATAAAAACTGCACAAGTAATTCCTACAAGAAAATTCTTTTTCAAGGGAGTTTTAAATCCTTTGGTCTGTTCCTACACTGCCATTCACAGGCAAGACTACATTCCCTGTATTATCTTGCAGCACAACTACAAAGTTCTTGCAATTTGTTTTAGATTTTCAGGCAGAGACTATCAATTAGGAAACCAAAATAGTTTGTTATAAATGGAAAAAAACTAGCAGATGATCTATTTTTTCACTTATGTGATGCTTTGTAATTGTCTTTTAGTTTCTTAAAATACATGCTTGATCTTTTCTTCTTTTTTTCTAAATATTTTTTTAGTTGTAGATGGACATAATACCCCTATTTATTTATTTTTATGTGGTGCTGAGGATGGAATCCAGTGCCTCACACACACCAGATGAATGCGCTACCACTGCCACTACCATGATCTTTTCAACTAGAGTAAATTACTAGACAGTAAGCACAAGACCTAGAAGACAACATTGTATTATGTGTGCATAGGACACCTAGCTTAGAACTTATTTATTCAATTATTATTTACTACTGTTTTTTAATACCTTTATTTTTTGTTTTATATATTTTATTTTTTATGTGGTGCTGAGGATTGAAATCAGTGCCTCACACGTGCAAGGCAAGCGCTCTACCACTGATCTACAACCCCAGCCCAATTTACTACTGTTTTATTAGGTGTTGTGCACCAAAGAAATAAAATAAGCAATAGTGCCTTCCAGCAGTTTACAAGAGGAAATAAGACACCTAAAAACTTACAATGAAAGACAAATAAGTAACTATCATACTCATTGTCCTCACAAATTTATTGTAAGGCTATTTTTTTTTTTTTAGAGAGAGAAAGAGAGAGAGAATTTTAATGTTTATTTTTTAGTTATCGGCAGACACAACATCTTTTGTTTGTATGTGGTGCTGAGGATCGAACCCGGCATGCATGGCAGGTGAGCACGCTACCACTTGAGCCACATCCCCAGCCCCTGTAAGGCTATTCTTAATGCAAAAGATTTACAAAAATTGTCCTATAATATCTATAAGCTAGGTGTTATTACATACTGATTTTTTAAAAAACATTTATTTTTTTAGATGTAGATGGACACAACACAATACCTTTATTTGTATGTGGTGCTGAGGATTGAACCCGAGTCCCGCCCATGCTAGGCGAGGGCTCTACCGATGAGCCACAATCCCAGCCCCATTACATACTGATTTTAAGAGAAGACATTGAAGAAGAATTAGGCAATTGCTTAGGGTAACAGATTATAAGTACCAATCCAGGATTCAATCACAGATCTGTCTTATTCAAAAATCCCTGTTATAATCTCTGGAAAATTTCACTCGTGGAGAAGAGACATATTACAGATATTGGTAAGATAGAAAGTATTCATGATTTAGGCTTATTATGTGTCCTGTATTCTTTTCAACTGCTAAATAACTATGTTTAGGAAACAAAGTGCCCAATATGGACAGGAAAAAGGATCTCAATCTAATGGGATAAAGACATGTAAATGAAAAATTACAGTGTGATTATCTGCTTATAGAATAAATGGCCCAAACTTTCAGAAAAGCAAACCAACCTTATTAAAAAAACTTAAAACTCTCCTAGTACCTATTTAAAATTCACAAGTATTCATATGTTTTGGAGCCATACAGTGAAAGAATAAACAATCTACAGTAGTGATCCTAGAGAGTGAGATATATATATAAAAGGTTAGAATTCACCAGGCATGGTAGTATATGCTGTAATCCCTATGACTCAGGAAGCTGAGGCAGGAGGATTGCAAGTTCAAAGCCAGCCTCAGCAATTCAGTAAGACCTTGTCTCAAAATAAAAAGAGGGGCTAGGGTTGTGGCTCAGCAGTAGAGCACTCACCTAGCACGTGGCAAGGCCCTGGGTTTGATCCTCATCACCACATTAAAAAATAAACAAACAAAATAAAGGTATTGTGTACAACTAAAAAATAAATAAATAAATAAATAAATAATTTATTTATTTTTTAAAAAGGGCTGGGAATGTGGCTCAATGGTTAAGTACCTCGGGGTTCAATCCCTGGTACCAAAAAAAAAAAAAAAAAAGAAAGAAAAGAAAAAGAAAAAAAAAAGTTGGAATTTTAAAATAATGACCATGTATGTAAGTTCTATAATAAAATTACCTAAAAAAAAAACCCTCAAGAAATGCTGTAACAGCTGGGCATGGTGGCCCATACCTGTAATCCCAGTGGCTCAGTAAGTGGAGGCAGGAGGATCATGAATTCAAATTCAGCCTCAGTAACTTGGTGAGGCCCTAAGCAACTTTAGACCCTGTCTCTAAATTTAAAAAGATATATAAAAAGGGCTGGGGATATGGCTCAGTGGTTAAACAACCCTGGGTTTAATCTCTGGCACCAAAATAAATAAATTTTTTAAAATGATAAAAATACTCTATTGTGCTTTCTGTCCAAAAGGGAATATAACTTAAAAAATATAGCTAGTGTGACTAAGCTACTGAATTTAAATTTAAACATTTACATGTAGCCAGTGGCTGCTATATAGGATAGCTGTCTTAGCCTTGTCTCTCTTCTACTTCTTTCCTCATCAAAATAATTACAAATATAAGGGTACTAACAAATGAGAAGCTTCTCAAATACACTTTTCACTTAAATTATTAAACTTCTGAAAGATGCTAGAGAAGAAATTTAAAGTCCTAAGATTTCATTGAAGTCTTCAGGGTCAAATTAATTTTAAGGATGGCTCACAGGAACTTAAAACTGATTAATTATGTTGTTTTGTTCAGTTTTGTTTTGATAAATTCATTTTGGTCTGTGAGGAATTTGAAAGACAAAAAATTCAATGTCCTTTTCATTATATCAATCTTACCTTTAGCTCTACTTGTATGAACTCTTGCACGTACCCAAACAACTTCATCAGCTCTTTGTACTGTCAAGTCTCTAACCAAAACCAAAATTCGATCTGCAACAAATGGTAAAGCAATTTTTAGATTCAGAATTTAGAGATCTTAGTTATTTGTCTGACAGGTAATCTAAAAATTTTGTATCATATTAAACAATTCTCTATCTTTGGTAACATTTTCTTTTTTATCACCTTCAATATGAAATTTGCTTCAAGTTTTATGATTGTGTTTTCTAAATAATCTCCAAAATCCATCCAATTTTCTACCATTGTTACTGCCACCATCCTAAATCAAGTTATTATTTCTTGCTTAAACTACAGCAGCAGCCTCTATACTGGTCCCCTTCTAATTCATTCTACATTGCAGTCAAAGAGATAATTTCAAAATGCAAATCTGCTGAATACTTTATGACTTCAAAGGTCAAATACAGCCTGTCCTCATCTGCCTATGCCTAAGTGAATATGGCAGTTTGCCTGCCCACCATACATAGTACGTTAGTCAGCTAGCCATCAGGGAGGATTCTCCACCAGGCCTACAACAATGACTGATACAGGGAAGGATATGTCATTCAAACTAATCATAGTATTTCTCTGGAACTTAAATACACATGCTGGGAATAAAGCTCTTGTAACCCTCTTCTCTAAGCTGAGATGGTGTAGGCCCAGGGCTGTAGTCAGTAGCTTTCTCACTAGCATGAGTTTGCAGGAGGAGAGAATGAAGCCAATATTTTACAAGAAGGACAGCCAAGAGATGGAGAGAGAAGATGCTTGAACCCCGAAATACAATCATGCTTGATGGTCATTTCACACTGTTTCCTACAGTTATGTGAACCTCTTGGCTACTAGTAAGCCCCAACTATTATGCCTCCCTGATATTAAACAAAAAACAAAAAACTACAGTCATCTAGAGTCCCCCTAATAGAAAAATGGTGACAAAATAACTATTACATAGAGGTAGCAATACAAACCAACATTCAGAAATCGTTGTTTTAAATATATAATCAATTGATTAGGGGAAAAAACCTGAGATATTAAGTAAGAACACAGTAATAGATGACACTACAATAGCAAAGACAATACCTTATAGGACATTATAATAAAATCCAATCACAAATGTATTTTACTTATGTTTTATCTAGATATAATTTGTCTCTTAAAGCAAAGATGCAGCTGTAAATATAACATGATTTACATTGTTCTCATGACTAAAAGCAAAGAGAATGGAAGAGGAATTTCAAAGCTATTGGGTATCATAAGAGGATTTCTGCAAAACACTGTCTTTATGAATATGCCAACTTCCAAGTCTGCTGTGTAAACTCAGACAAAAAAACATGTAAAAGAAAATCAAGAGACAAAGCAGCATAAGATTTGAAAAGGCAGATGTGAAAATGCCAAGACTGAAAAAGCACATGACTAATTAGCCAACAAAACTCAAAACTAAACAAAACGGAAAGCATACATTTTAAAAAGTGGACTTATACATGATAATTTTAATAGTATTTTGGAAAAGAAAAAAGGGTAATAGCCCTATTTCTTATGGCATCCCATTAATTAGCGTGAGGGTTTTCAACTTTTAATATACTGCAACATACTCGAGACACAAGTTATACTCCACCAGTAAAACTGGCTAACTGTGGCAGTGATCCACAGTATTAGGGTTTCAGTTCAAAAATTACCGTCTATTCTATGTTTTAACAGACACTGGCAGTAGAGAAGAAGTTTGGAGAAACTGAAGCAGATAGGAAATTATTTTGAGCTAAGTATTACGATTTTTATACAAGTGTTAAAGCTCAAACTACAACACTGTCAAAGGATCTAGGTATGGAAAGAATCATGAACTCTAGGGTCAGATGGTCTCAGTTTCAATCTTGGGTCTGGTAGATAATGGCTGCATGAGATAAGTTCCTTATCTTTCAACTTTAGTTCCTTAGAGTCTTTAAGGATTAAGAAAATAAATTCTTGGAAAGAATCAAGCAGAATAGGAATTTAATAAATTAAGTAGACAAAAACAGAGAAGTTAGGAAGAAAGTAATAGAGGTAGCTTCATGAAAACATACAAAGACTGCAGGTGATAAAAGCAGTTATTAACCACTCTTCTCCTATCCCCTAGTCCAGAGTTAAATCTTATTGGATTACTGAGGAATTTGATAAAATCAAATAAAATCATTTAAAATACACCATTCAGGGCTGGGTTGTGGCTCAAGAGGTAGCGTGCTTGCTTGCACCTGAGGCATTGGGTTTGATCCTCAGCACCTCATAAAAATAAAAGATATTGTATCCACCTAAAACTAAAAAATAAATATTTAAAAAAATAAAATACACCATCCACAATTTCTAGAATTCCAACATGTTGGATAAAAGCTAATTGTAATACTCATTGGACATATTTTCTTTCTTATCTAGATTTGAAACACTAAACTAACAATGTTTACATACAGTAATGACATCTATTTGGTTTATGAATGCCATTAAAGCTTTTCAAAATTATTTCTTCAGTGTTATGCTGACCCTACTTAAAACTTCACATAGCTACTAACCTGGTTTTTCCTGTGATTGTATCATTGAAGATATTCCATATCTTTCTTTAGCATAATCCTACAAAAAAAGTTTTGCATCATGACTTTTCATTTAAACACATAAACACAAATAACCAGATTAAAAAATGAACTTGTCTTAACTTTCACAATCATTTCATTAACTCAGATACAGCAGTTTTTAGATATAGAAATCTGTTATTTATTTATATATGTATCTACAGAAAAAAGAAAAAGCATCTAGCTGGTTAGTTTATTTCGGAGACCACCAATTCTGGATGGAAATAACACACATAATAGCCTTCAGATAAAATTTACACACATGTACAACACAACTTAACTACCTTCTTCAAAAAGATCAAACTACTTTAAAGTAGAATATAAACTTCCTCTGTGAAGGGAGTAAGATGAAGTACCAGTTTTATTAACTTCCTATTACAGGAAGAGATGTTCAAAGACAACCAATGCTTTGGTAAGCTTTCCAAGTAACAGATGTCTACAGTTTTTAGAAATCTGAGATGTAAGACATAGCTAACTACAACTTTCCTTTTAATAAAATATCATTAAAAAATTCACCAGCTTCCTGGTTTCAGATTCAGGACAACAGGTTACAAGGTTAGACAGTGACAATTTATCAAATTTCTTGTAGTTGTAGAGTTAGGAACAGAAAATAGCAGACCAAGGATCCAGGTGATTAACAAACTAAACATTAAATAGGTAAGTGTCCTCTTAATCTTACTTTACCTCTAAAATGATCTCAAAGATCCTTCTAGCTGTAACTCTTCCAAAATATTTACCTTACATCTAGATCCATGCTATTTGCAATGGGGCACTACTTGTTTATATAATAAATCAGATCAAGAATACACAAAAATAATTTTCTTAGATTTTTGCAAGGTAACTTAAGATCTGTAAGAAACAATTCGTTTTTGTAACTCAACAGCTATCTGTTGGAATCCTCTTAGATTTGGAGAATCCTGAATTCTCTGTCTATACCAAAACAGATATGTTAAGATATTGAACAACTGCTTTTTTCTAATATTAAAAAATACACATCAAGGACAAATATCACTAGGACCACAGTGGAAGGATGCTGTCACACAATGAAGCCTAAAGGCAGCATAAAATACATGAGAGTGAAGATAAAGGTGTCACCCCTTCTAATTAGTTCTATTCATATTTCAACAACCGTTCTTCAATTTATTATTCTGATATGCCTTATTATGTTCCTTACCAAAACCTCAAAATTCCTCAACAGAGAAACTAAGAGACAGGCATTGCTTAAAGCTCAATATTACTATAGCACACAGAACTGGAGGTTTGGGATGGTTTAAAACTTTGATACTGAAAAGCCTGAATGACTGCCGGGTGTTTATCTCAAATGCATCTTCCACAAACTTCATTACCTACCTCATTGGGTCACTGACAGAAAATAAAATAACGTGTGTTCTTTAATGCTGTCACATGGAAAAATGGTCATTTAACATAACAGCAAATGGTTTTACTTAGTACTGTTATTATTTGGCAAAACATTAGGAATACGAGGGCTGAGAACGTATCGATTACTAGAGGTCATCAAATATTCCCGAGGCGGGGGTGGAGTGAGGCGTGCATGACGTGTAGGACGTGCCTAACCCAGACAAGCTCAATGTGACACCGCCGCTCCTCCTTCCATGGCAGAGGGTGCTTCACATCCACCCTACCCCAGGAGCGCCCTCCTTGTAGGCCAGGGCTCCCAGGCGATCCTGTGAGAAATGCGGTCTGGCCACGATGCTCAGGCCCTGGCGGCCCCATGGAGGTTCCAGAGGCCTGGACGCTAGGCCCTCAGCATCCAGACAAAGTGCTAATGTAAGGAGCCCGACAGCAGGGCCCCGCTTACCCTACTCCCTCCCTCAGCGCGGTCCGGCCCAGATTCTGCCCTCCCAAACCCAGAGAAGGAGGAAACCCACTTCCGCCGCGTCCATGATCTCCCGCGGCTTCTCCTGACTCTTGCGACTGGCGCTGGCGCTGGGCATCGAGACACTGAATCGGGGAGTGGACACCACTCTTCCTCGCAGGCGTCTGTAAGGGGAAGCCAAGGGGTTTCTCCCTCCCGCACAGTCTCCGCCCTCCCGCCTTGGTACACGCGCTCGAACTCCGCGTGGAAGTTCGGCTTCGGAAAGATCGCGAGACTTCCAGCTCTCTCGAGATTCCGAAGCGCCGAAAGGCCAGCAGCAGAGCGCCGTCGCGTACTCTTCCCCCCTCGCTCCGCCTCTACGGGGTTGTCCCCGGGTTGGAAGGAATCCCCGGGAATTTGGTACAGTCTCGCGGCTTTGGCTCTGAGGGGCGGGGTCCTAGGGTACTTGCTGTCCTTATTCTCCTTAAGCTCGTCTCAACTGTGGCTTTTCCTCTGTTTTCTTCACAACCCTTTCATTCCTCTGGACTTTAATCACAAACTAGTCACCAAAACACGCACGAAAGTTCAGCCCTCAGCTTTTTCCTCTTCTGTACATCTCCGCCTTCACTATCCCCAGCGAGGTTGGCTGCCTGGGGAAGAGGAGGCCTTTTGGCACAATGGTTGTACTCCGTATTGGGACACAGGGGTTCTGTATTATAGGCAATTAAGTTGCTAAGGCAGGTGAAAAGTAAGTGAAAAGTGAAGGGGGCACACAATGACAAGAAAACCCACACAATTGCACTGATTGCCTTGACCAGCTGCATTGTTGAATACAGTATGTAATGTTGATTTCCGATGGATGTTTTTTTTTTTTTTTTTTTAGTACCAGGGATTGAACTCAGGGGCACTTAACCAGTGAGCCACATCCCCAGCCCCTTTTGGTATTTTATTTAGAGACAGGATCTGAGTTGTTTAGGACCTCGCCTAAATTGCTGAGGCTGGCTTGAACTCTCGATCCTCCTGCCTCAGCCTCTTGAGCTGCTGGGATTATGGGCATGCACCACTGTCCCAGTACCTGGCTTAATGGATGGCTTTTTCTAAACAAAAACACAACTTGTTAATAAGTCTTTATTGAAAGTAATTTGAAGAGTTGGTTAAATACTATTTCCCCTGTAGATATTTTTTACATTCCATTAAGTTTCAGCTGTCTGTAGTTTTACCCTAGCACAAAATGACAGTTAATACTGGTGAAGGGGTTTAGGGGCAAATGAAAGGCCTCTGGAGGTTCCCTCATTCAGGTCTTGAGAGAGATGGTCTGTGCTTAACTAATTGCATGTGGGGTAAAATTTTGTTCCTACTTATTTGATAAATGATTATTTGTAGGTATATACTTTATGCTAATCATATCAGGCACTAGTAATCACATGATTATAGTCATGATTCTTGTTCTTTTTTCTTTTTCTTTTTTTGGTTACTGGTGATTGAACTCAGGGGCACTGAACCACCTATGGGCATCCCCAGCCCTATTTTGTATTTTATTTAGAGACGGGGTCTCAATGAGTTGCTTAGTACCTTGCTTTTGCTGAGGCTGGCATTGAACTCGAGATCCTCTTGCCTTAGCCTCCCCAGCCACTGGGATTACAGGTATGGGCTAACAGGCCAGCTTATGATTCCTCTTTTAATACTATACAGGGACCTAGACTGATAGATCCTCTATTTTGACAACCTAGCTCTTAAAGTTTTTGCCTAGAGGTAACATATTTCACCTTCTGCTCCTGTTTTCATTGGCTATTCCTGATTCAACCGGACAGGAGAATTCATTGATTCTTTAGGGAGTGACATTGAATATTTGTGATCAATAATACATTCCATTAAAAACACAAGCTGGGTATTGTGGCACATGCCTGCAATCCCTGCAACTCAGGAGGCGGAGGCAGGAGGATGGCAAATTCAAAGCCAGCTTCAGCAAATTAGTGAGGCCCTCAGCAACTTAATGAGATCCTTCTCAAAATAAAAAAAATAGAAAAGGTTGGGGATGTGACTTAGCAGTTAAGCCCCTCTGGGTAAAACAAAAACAAAAACAAAACAGAAGTACACATTCTAGGGGCTGGGGCTGTAGCTCAGTGGTAGAATGCGTGCTTCACATGTGTGAGGCACTGGGTTCCATCCTCAGCACCACAATAAAATAAATAAATAAACAAATGTATTTTTTAAAAAAATGTCTTAAAAACAAAAAAGAACACATTCCATTATACCTTTAGAATTCCAAATAGGAGTCTGTGAAATTGCTGTGTTTTGGTATTTTTAAAGATTTTTTTCTATTAATGTATGAACTGATTGTCAAAAATCTCAATACAAGTTCCATCAGTTGTCCCTTTACTATGGCAGGGATCTTATTTTTCAATCTGTCTATGAGGTTTCTTCATGTCCTTGAGGTCGTCCTTACTTTGGCCCCTTTGCCTTGATAAGTATTTGTATTTTGTATTTAGGTCATAGCCTGGAATGAGGCTTCTGGTCCTCTTTCCTTAGAGTAATACAAAAGAAATATTTACCAGATCAATGGCCACATTCTATGTGCCTGAGGTCTTGTGAATCTGCTCTAGTACAGATAACTACAACTGCAACTGAGGCTATGATTTGGACATTGACAGTATGCTCAATGTCTGGTCTTTGAAGGAACCATTCTTAAAAATAGGAATAGGATAAAGAATATTAACCATTGGGCCTTTAAGGGTTGCACTAATTTTTGCCATCCCCCAGAGAACCTGTCAATGTGATTTACTCTCATAGTTGGGAAATGGGGAAATGATTTCAGGGGTTTCCTTTTATCCTTCTGCAGTATAATAGCCCTATCCCAAAGGCCAAGGAACTGTAGAGAAATAGCTCTTCCTTGTTTCCCCTGGTACCTTGCAGGTATCCAGATAAGCCAAGTGGGCAAGGACTTGAACTACAGCAAATGTGAGTCTTCAGATCACCCTGTGATTCTCCTGGGACTTGAGGGGATAGGAGACCATCTCCCATTCACTTTCCTATCTCCCTGGGAGGCTGTCATGGGATGGTTTCTCATCTCCTCCTGATGTATGGGACTTCTTGTCTCCCTCCCCCTGTGGAGAAACAGGGTATAAACATGCTTAGTAGTAGTCTAAAAGTGGCTCATCAGCAACAGGGTGTCCTACAATCCATGTTGCAGTCATCTGGTCCATTTTGTTCCAGTGTTGTCATTTTTGATGTGTGAGACAAGGATCACCTTTGGCTCATTCTTCTTTTCCACTCTTTATGTAAGCAATAAACTGTCTTAATCTACAAATGGCTTGTTAAATAAGTCAGTGAGGCTCTGACCTTGGCCTTGCTTGTTTTTGTCTTGATAGGAACAACGTGGGGTTCTTCCAACTGCCAGTATGTCCATTGCAAAATAGTCATTTTAGAGACCAGGAAAACAACCCCTTGAATTTCATGTCGCTTTTGAGAGATCTGAAGCACCATTGTGATTCTTGATTCTTCATGTGTGATTTTTTTCCCCCCCTGGAAAAAAGAACCATATGTCAGTATATATGCTAAGTAAGCTATCATTGGTCTTTCTCTTTGTTCCTAATGCTCTGAAATCTCATAATGTGTGCCATCCTATGGGTCTAAAGTCATCAGTGTGCTGGACCTCAATGGGCCTTTCGATCTGGAAACTCATTTAGTTCTGGGACATTTTCTTGAAAAATGTTCTTAATTATACTCTCTTCTTCTTTTCTTGAATTCTTATTATTCAAGGAGTGGCCTTTCTGAACTGGTCTTTTAGTTTTCCTATTATTTCTCTCCATTTTCCATCGTATTGGCTTTTTTTTTTTTTTTAAAGAGTGAGAGAGAGAGGAGAGAGAGGGAGCGAGAGAGAGAATTTTAACACTTATTTTTTAGTATTTGGCGGACACAACATCTTTGTCTGTTTGCTGAGGATCGAACCCGGGCCGCACACATGTCAGGCGAGTGCGCTACCGCTTGAGCCATATCCCCAGCCCCACGTATTGGCTTTTGATGTGCTTTTGGAAGATTTCTTAAACTTTATTTTCTAATCTTTCAGTTGATATTTTATCATTTCTGCCATTATGTTTATAATTTCTTAAAGCACTTTTTTGTTCAATGAATGGAACTCCAGACTAGAACCCCAATCTTTTTGGGGGGGTACCTGGAGTTGAATCCAAGGGGACTTACCACTAAGCTACATCCCTAGCCATTTTCTGCTTTTTTTTTTTTTTTTAACCTTTATTTTATTTATTTATTTTTTATGTGGTGCTGAGGATTGAACCCAGGGCGTCGCACATGTTAGGCAAGCGCTCTACCACTGAGTCACAACCCCAGCCCTCGGTTTTTTATTTTGAGATAGGATCTCACCAAGTTCCTAGGGCCTCACTATATTGCTGAGGCTGGCCTTAAACTTGGGATTCTCCTGCCTCAGCCTCCCGAGTCATTGGGAGTAAAGGCATGAGCCAGCATGCCCAGTTAGAACCCCAGTTTTTTAACATGCGTGCAGTATTTTCTCATCTTGCTGAGTATAAAAATAAGGCAATTTGGGGGGTAATTTTAAAATTTGTTCTCTCTACATGGTGCATTTTTTATAAGGTTTTTTTTTTGGTTTGGTTCTTTTTGGTTCAGTGCTAGAGACCTGCCTCAGCTAGTTGATAAAGCCTTGATTGTCTGCTTATGTTAAAAGTGGGGACTAAAAAACTGATTAGAACTGGCTGTGGTGGTGTAGGCCTATAATTCCAGTGACTTGGGAGGCTAAGGCAGGAGGATCACAAACTTGAGGCCACCCTCAGCAACTTAGTGAGACCCTACCTCAAAATATAAAATAAAAGGACTGGGGATGTGGCTCAGTGGTTAAGTTTCCCTGGTTCAATTCTTGATACCAAAAAAAAAAAAGCTGATTAGAAGCTCTGTGTGTACTTACATGGGGTTTGTCAATTTTGAGTTTTGCTATATGATGTTCTAGCCGACATTTGACAGGAAACTCAGGTGTCAGTATCTTTAGATCTTTCCCTTTGGCTGGTCAAATTGTTCAGGATAAAACCCTTCTGATCTGCCTGAAGAATAAAGATATGATTGTCAGTATTCTGGGAATACTCAGCATGTAACATGTATTTGATATCTGAATCCCTCTAGTTTTGGTACAGTGCCCAGTTCCTGAAGTCGAAGGATGCATGCTTTAACCCTCTCCAGAGAATATATTATGTCAGGGTGGGAGAGAACTCTTGCCAAAAGAGTAGGGTAGGAAGGGATCAGGGATTCCTCTTCTCATGTAGATTTCCCTT